ATTCTTCAGACTCAATCTTGATTCCTCACTCCATAGATTATCCATTCAGTTGACAAGTCTTAATAATTCTACCTCCACAGTCTCTCATGTCTTCCCATTTTTCTCAACTCATGTGGCCACCACCCTTGTTTAGACCCTTGTCCCCTCTTACATTAGCCTCCAATTAATTCATCCTCCACACCAATGGCAAAGTGATATTCTTAAAGCCAAGGTATGATCATGACACTCCCCTGCTCAAGAAAAGTCCACTGGTTCCCTAGGATCAGATACCAACTATTTTGTTGGGCATTTAAAGACTTTCACAACCTGGTTCCAAAATACCTTTCCAGGCTTATTACCTATTCATGCCCAAATGGGCAGTCTTTCCACTCCTCATGATTGTTTTCTTAGGCCTAGAATGTTGTCATTTTTCAGTCGTGTCCAACTCTTCATGACCCCTTTTGGGGTTTCCTTGACAAAGATACTGGACTGGTTTGGATTTCCTTCTCCAGCTCATTTGACAGATGAGGAAACTGAGGCAAACAGGGTTAAGTGATTTGCCCAGGGTCACACAGCTAGTAAGTGTCTAAGGTCTGATTTGAACTCAGGAAGAGTTCAAGAATTACCTTTGCTTACTCTTATATATGTATACTTCCCCCAATAGGGTGTAAGCTCCTTGAGGACAGGATTATAATTTTAGAGCTAGAAGGACCTTAAAGGCCATTGAGACGTTTGTGTTTTGCCTTTGTATGCTCATGGACTAGCACACTGCTGGGCAGACACGTTTTATCTATTGATTGATTAGCCTCCTAATTGGTCTCCCTGCATCATTTCTCCCCTTTCAAATCCAGCCTCCACAAAGCCGGCAAATTGATATTCCTAAAGCACAGGTCTGACCGTATCACTCTGCTGAAGAAGCTTCGGCAGCTCCCCTTGACTATAGGACCAAATACAAACTCCTGTTTGGAATTTAAAGCTCTTTGTAACCTGGCTCCAGTCCAACGTTCCCGGCTGATGCTTCAGCCAAACCAGCTTGCTTGTTGCACGTGTGCGTGTATGTTGCACATATGTATACCTGTGCATGCACATACATACATACATCCTCTGCCTCCACACCTTTGCAACGGCTAGCCCTCTGTATGCACACATATCTATACCTGCACATGTGCACGCACGCACATATACAATCACAGACATGTATGTTCCATCCTCTCTGCTCCAGGCCTTCGCAGTGCCCTTCTCTCTATATTCTGAATGCTCTTCCTCCTCACCTCTTGGAACATTTACTTCCCTTCATGGCTCTGCCTCCTTCAAAGAGTCTTTCTGAACTGATCCACATTACTGTTCTATCCCTCTTCCCCATCACTCTGTATTTAATTTATATGATGCCATTGATTTATATAAACATAACGTATCATGCTTGTACATCTTAACCTGGGGTCCAAACTTAAAAAAAAATCATACATATGTGTATGTGTATATTTACAACTATTTAAAAATATGTATTTAAAACATTTAATAACTATTTCAATCTAATCTAATAACACATAATCAGTTTCCTTTGTAATCCTATGTATCTTATGTGTTTGAAAGCATTATCCTGAGAAACGGTCCTTAGGCTTCACCAGACCACCAGAGGGGTCCATGACAAACAAAGGTCAGGCCCCTGCTCTCCTAAAAATAGAAGCTGTGGAAAGGCAGGAGCTGTCTCATTTTCCATTTTCACTATCTAACCACATAGTAGATTTTAATGAATACTTGTTGATTCCAAGTTCTCTAGGGTTTAAGTGGTCTGTAAAAGTTGTTGTGGTCCCAAAATTCGTCATCTGCAACCAACCTGGTGATCAGAGCATCCCTAAATTTAGCTATGCTGGTCCTCAGCCAAGACATCCTTGAAGGCTTCCTGGCTTAGTGGGATCTCCTTGTGCTGAGCTGGTTTAACCTTAAAGAAGCCATTCACCCACATACCACATAACTGCCTTTCCTTTACATCCTTTCTTCAATCTCCCTTTCCCCCTTCTCTCCTACATGTCTGAGAGCTAACAGCATCACTCAGGAGCACTAAAGGCTACTCAGAGCTGAAGAGGTTGCTAACTTTGTACACAAAAAATTACCTTTCATTAAAGAAGTAGCTTCTAGTGTCTGCTCTGCAATTGATTTAACTGTGTTACCTTGGTACATTATTTACCTTTTCTGCTCTATTTCCCCACATCATACAGGGAGAATCATTCAGTTCTCATCAGCATCTTTTTGTTGGGGGAGGAAAGGGCTTGGAAAAGTCAAGAGCCGTGGTTTGGTTAAGTTAGGGTGGGTACTTCCTAGTGTGGAAATTCCTTCCACTGATGCACGTTCTCAGTTCTTATGGATGTTGTGAGGATAAAACAAGATGCTAAATACCAAAGTGCTCTCAAAGGAAGAGAGCTCTAAAATGCAAAGATTATTACTCCTAGAGACAGATGGTATTCTCCCAGTAGGGAGGACTGGATGATCTTTCAGAGGCCCAGCACAGTTTTTCTGCCAGGGCATTTGAGGCAAGTGACCAGTTGTACCTCATAAAATGTAAAAAGCTGATTAATCAAGTCCAAAGGAAGTGGGAAGGCAGAACACGAGGAAAGATGGTGAAGGGCATACAACGTCATTCTGGGTGTCTGACCATCATGGAAGAAATACACTGACTGTGAATGCTGAACTGGGAGTCAGAAGTCCTAAATTCTAATCCCTGCTTTTCTACTGACCTTGCGAAAATGATTTAATTTTTCTGGGACTCTAGTTCCTTCACCTGCAAAAGGGACATAGCCAAGTCAAATCCTTCCTACCCTGAAGGGACTTTAGAGCAAAGGATACTGAGCAGCTTTCAATTATCACCTTCATAGGTTATCAATAGCTATTAGTGACTTTGTCTCCCTGCCAACACCCCTAAGTCCACGGCTGTAATCATACTCACTTCAATAATCATAATCGGAAAAACTGGGGGATGGGTGGGGGAATCTACACAATTTACCAACAACAAACCATCAGATTAAAGATTAACTATAGTGCCTTGGGTTCCCTCCCTGCCTAGAGAAGGGTGAAAGTGTTTTTGATTTGCAAATTTAAGGCCTTAAGTCTTGATACCTCTTGGAGCTGGCTGAGCAAAGATCTCTGACCCAGACTGCTTAGCATTTAAGGCCTGTTCCATGAAGAATAAACAGACTCTGACCAAATTAAGGGCTCAATTTTCTGGTAGCAAGATAGAACCTTGCTACAATGACCCATGTGCCACTCTGCTCTCCTGAAGAAAGAGCAGACAATAAATGTTTTCTGTGATTGCACTGAGCAAGCCCCTGTGTTTCACAAAACTTAGTCCCCAAACTGGATCACAGACTTGGAGTTAGAAGGGATCTTAGAAACCACCAAATCCAACCCCCTCATTTTAAAAGGACACAGGAAAGTCAAAAAAGTTAAATTACTCGCCCAAGGGTCACCCAGCTAGTATCTGAACCCAGGTCCTGACTCCCAAGTCCAGGGCTGGACTGCTCTGGACTCCTAGAGAAGTCTGGTTGAGAGAATCCAGATCAGTTCTTTCTTCTTCCTTTTTCATTTGTGGAACATAAAATACCATCTTTCTCCCATCACTATGAACCAGCCCAAGCCACCATGTTTGTCTCTCATAGAATACAGCTGGTACTCCTATTCCATCTTAATTAGATGCATGCTATGAGCTGTCCTCCAGTACCAAGGAGAGATCGTGCTGAGCTATCCACACTCTGGCCTGGTACCCCAGTGACCAACAGTGGGGATTTTTTTAAGCAGCCAGTTTTTCTTGGTGATGAGCTAACTCGTCTAGGTGGGAACTAAATTAAAGACTGGAGCCTTGTTAACAACATGCCCTACCCATCTAGGATAACCCACTGGAGAAGCTAGGTTTGGAAAGGATCTTTCTCAGCAGGAAGAGAGCTAATTGATGCAAGCTTTCTGAATGAAGAGAGCTGAGGAAGAAGGAAAAAGGGGGAAGGTGGCAAAGAGCAAGATGTGAGCAGATGTACACTACAACTCTTCTTCCAAGGAGGTGGAGTTTAAAGGGAAAGGAGCCCTTTGGGACAAAACTACAGAAACACCCCTTGCCCGCCCAGGGAGGGAGATTAATGAAATCCAAACCAGGGCTTGAAAGGTTGGCTAGGGGGAGGTGAAGCCACCGCTCAGGAAGGAGGCTGGGCTCCCATCTGGAGAGCCAAGGGGCTAGGGCTGCTGAACAGATGGAGTCAGAGAGGCAGCTGGTGAAAATGCACTTTCATGTGTAAAGTTTGCTCTTTGGAGGATTGCACTCTCCAACTTTGAAGACAGCACTGGGCGGGAGGCTCTGCTACACACACATACACACTCACAACAAAACTTCAGTTGGGGCAACATGCCAGGGCTTTTTGCAAGTGCCCCCTTCAGCAGGCAGAAGCTGGCACTGTGGCACCTTGGCAGAGGACTATGTGACAGAGGGCTGTGAATCTTTAACAGCTATGGAGAATCGAGGAAGAGGAAGAATGAATCCTGCTGTTCTCTCCCTACCTCCCCACATCCCAGGGTGGGAGGTGGGGGGAGAAGGTGGACTAAAAGTAGGAGAGAGCAAAGGAGGTAAGCAGGAAAAAGTACATTCATACACCTTCCCAACTCCCTTCTCACACAGGCTTGGTTTCCATTTTGGAAAGTCTTCCTCTCTGGGGAGAGAGGTGTCAGAAATATCAAATTCACAGCAAGTTCTATAGCTATGGACACATTCTACCCCTATCACAACAAGAGAAAAATACACGAGGAGATAGCAGTTGCTTTTACTTTAGCTAAGAACTTCTCGGACACCAGAAAGATAAATTATTGGAGAATGAACTCTCTGAAGTGGTTATTTTGAGACCTTCCCCAGAGATGTCTGACAGTAGACAAGCCCTCTCTTAAAGAGAAGGGACTGGCTGGAGCTGCTGAGTTCTCAAAATCCCCCCCCATTTTCACACTGCTAGCAATTCAATCAGACCAAGACAGAGGAAGAAACCCAGGAAAATGATCAAAATCTCCCTCTTCTTTTTATTGAGGTAGGCTAGGTTACTGCCCCCCTCCATCTTATCACAAACAAAAATCATTACTCATTCCTGTTAAAAAAAAAAAAAAAGCAAAATCCAACAATATCACTTTTTTAGAACCTATGATTTCTTTCTTAAAAAACAAAACAAAACAAAAAAAACTAGAACCCTCCCTCTCCCCTTGTTGAGTCCAGTTCTCAAGGAGATGTTGAGATTTGAGAAAATAAGTTAAATGGCCTTGTATGAATCCCTGGATCTTCCTAGAGGGATGTCTTCTTGGAACCTTTGCCAAACTTGGCATCCAGGCCAAGACCTATGGGGGGAGAGAGAGAAATAAACTTAGCTTCCCCAAGGGAATTTGAAAAGTCAGAGGAGATAGGCCTCAAGACCAGCCCTATAGGTCTACACATGTTCAGGATGTGAAATAAATTAGGCGAGGCTCAAAAGAAACCAGAGGCTTTAAATAAAGTGGAATGCACAACACTGGCATCAAACCTTCCTTGGGAGCACAAGCCATGCTCAGGTGACAACTTAAAACAATCCTAAAATACAGAAAAGCATGGAAAATACTGGCAAAATGTAGGAGGGTCAAAAGCTACTTGGTATCAACTTGAAAGCTGCTTTGACTCAGACCATGGCTAGGTTAAATTAATCAGATGTTAGAAAATCAGTAACTAAATGTATTTCCCCACTGGATGGGATGGTGCAGATCTGTCGTCACTGCTGCTAGGGAAGCAGACCGGTGGATCGCTTCAGTCTGGGAGGCTAACGCAAATCAAAACTGGCACTAAGTCCAGCCCCGAAAAGGTGAGCCCCTGGGCGCTTGAGGAGACATGAACAGCCCAGGCTAGAAAAACCAGAAAGGCTCAAGTTTCCATGCCAATCAGTATTAGGATCAGACCCATTAATGGCCAATGCATTTCCAAAGAGGAAGACATAGTCTTAAAACAAAAAAATTCCCCCCACACTAAGACGTGCCTTCAAAATAGCACCCACCAGGCTTGAAGCTTAAGCCACTGCCGGGGCCCAGCCAGGAAAACTCACCCAAGAACACCAGCACAGTGCCTACCCACTGCATGGGGCTGATAGGGTTAGCAAAGAGGATCACAGATGCCAAGATGGTGAAGAACTTGCGGGTTGTGGTGATGATGGAGCAGGTCAGAGGACCAAAGTACACAACTGTCATGAAGATAAAGCTCTGGAGGGAGAAACACAGAGAGATAGGTTCAGGCCAAGGACAGGCATTTGATTCCAAGACTTAAGCCTTCCAAAAAAAAAAAAAGGCAGCACAAAAGTTTATGGGTAATGTGACCATCCCTGCCCTGGACAAGCTTCATTCTGGAGACTCACCTGGCCCAGGGCACTGGTCAGGCCAAACAGAAGGATGTTGTAAAGGACGCTGGGATATCGCTCAGCAAAGCTAAGGAAGTCCCAGAACTCCCCAGTGAACAGGATTCCTGAGTGGGGAAGCAACAAGATACCCAAGGTGACGTAAGGAAGGAGCTGGGATCCTCCCCGACACACGTACCAGAAAGCCTGAACCCCTTGAGGGTCACTCAGATCTCTGGAGAATTAGGGTTGGGAAAAAAAGCATATGGAGCAAAGAACTTAGGGCTTGGAATTATTCCTGTCCCACCATGCACCTTTCCCTGTTCTGTCTCTTAACTTTTCTTGACTGGATAAATCAGAATCTCAATCCTTGACAGTTAACTAGTTAATCCCGTTCAAGCAACCAGATAGCAGAACACAGTATGGAAGAACTGGGTTAAATTCACATTTGCTTCTTGCTTCCCCTGGTAGACTATATGATTCTTGAAGGCAGGCTGTCTCCCCACTCAAGACTGTAATCTCCTCTCAACCTTCTGTCTTCTCTGGACACCTTGCCTAGGGCTTTGCACACAGCATGTGCCCAATCAATGCCTGCTAACTCAATGTGCTGAATAAAGGTAACAAGCAGTGAAAAGGTGATGGGAGTGTAAGGGGTTTCTCCGTAATTCAGGGTCTCTGATATACGACATCTCGAGGCCAAGGCTGGCTGCTGGGCACGCTGCAAGGTTGGCATTAGGAAGGTGAGTCTGTGGCTGACCTAGATCAGGAGAGCCTGCCATCCAGGGGCGAATGGTGGGAACAGCGGAACTGGCTTCTTACCAGCTCCCAAGAGCAATGTGGACCAGAGGTTTATGTTCAGCATCATGTGGTTAGAGCCTGTTTGGTAATGAGCTCGCATGTGATCCTGGGAGACACCTGTCAATCCATCCAGTGTCAGAGACAGCAGCTGAGAAATGGAGGGAGCAGCGTAAGGGGAGAGGGTCAGCAAAGCTCCAAGCCCCAGGGAAGGCACGGCTCTCCCCTTCGGGACTTCTCTGAGAACAGCTGTCTTAAGGCGGAGGCCACGGTTCACAGCATCATAGACTTAGAGCAGGAGGGGACCCAAGGGGTCACTGAGCCCAACCCCCTCATTTGACAATAAGGAAACTGAGGCCCAGGGCAGTTAGGTGACTTGCCCAGGAGGCAGGATCTGAGTCCAGTTCTTCCTGGCTCCAGGGCCCTGTCCACCTTGCCAGGCTGCTTCAATAGATGCCCCATCTCAGCTCTTTAGGTCATGCAAATCATGCTTCTTTCTTAGCCAACCTCCAGGGCAGTGGGGTAATCTGTGGGATGGGTGATTTAGCACTTTCCAGAGAAACAGGCAACTTCCCTCCCCACTAATACTTACACACTACACCTGAGGCTGATAAGTAAGGGTTAAAGTAGAGAAAGCCAACCCTGACTCAGAACATAACAGGCTTCTTCCTGTTTCCAGGGTTCTCAGAACCCAGGTGTGAAAGAACCAAAGGGGACAGTACTTTTCTTCCTCTCCCCAGTCCTTGGACTTTGGGGATTTTACACCATAGTTATATCCTGCTATAGGGTCCCAGAGTTAGCAGGAAGCTTCCTGATACAAAGCTGACTGTCCTTGGCTATAAACCTCACATGCACCCTCTGGGGAAGGGGAGGCAACCCAATACCCAGGCCTTCCCAAATAGCCTCAGTAGGGTAAAGATCCTTGCTAGGAGAAAGACCTTGAGTGTTTCAGAACAAAGAGCGTTACAACTCTCCCACCAGTAACTTCATACCAGAAGTAGCTCTCCATAGCCAACCACATGCTCATCAGCTCCAACCCCTTTTTTGGGCTTGTACATGAAGAGGGCCACTCCAGCCACTATCAAGAGCACACAGAAGTATTTAGCCACTGGGTATTTCTTCTTCAGGAGGGTCACTCCAAGGAGCATAACTGCCGAGAGGAAACAGAACCAGAGATTCAGCTCCCTCCCTGGGACACAGGAAGGAGCTGAAGATCTCATTGTAGAAAGGTGTTATCTAGAGGAAAAGGCACCGGGGGAATGAGGAGAAGGTCCTAGGGCTGGTGTGGAGAAAGGGCTAATTAAGTCATATGGCTGAGCAGAGCAAAGGGCATAACAGGCTGGAGAGAAAGAGCAAAGGTGAATTGAATAAAAAGGTATAGCACTGGGTCTTGGAGGGAAGGGAAAAGCAAAGTACTATATTAAGTTGTCTACTGGCATCTGACAGATATGTAATTCTAATATAATATAAAAAGGAATATGTAATTCTAATATAATTATCTGAAAGAAGTAAGCCTCCAGTCTCCAGCCCTCAGATCCCATGAGGAATGAACCCAGAATGCCAACTCATGGTTATTCAAAACAACAGAAATATAAATGTGTGTTGGGGGCTGAGAGAAGGGAGAATATCTTGAATCTTAATATGAGAAATTATATTTAATATAATCTAAAGGCAGAACCTCTTACATCTGAATATAATGATGAGTGGGATAGCAGAAGTCACAGGGCAGGGTGGAGTTAAATGAGGGAGATGGAGAGTTGGGATTATAAAAGACCTGAGATGTAGCTGCAAGCCAGAGAGGGAATAAGAATGGGAAAATCCAACATTCCTTACCTGGAATAGGTTTACAGGATTTGCCAAGGACCTTAAAAAAAAGGACGCAAGGTACAACTGATTAAATTCTATCACCGTGTAACTCAGATGCTGCTAACATTTCAGTTTTTTGCTCACTTTTCAACTGTTACTTCCGATCAAAATCTCCTTCTTTCACTGAGCCTGACCCCTGTAGCCTCACTTCAAGACTATTCTTTTTCATCGTAGAGACACGAATCTAAGGAAAGAGCTCCTAGGTCGTAAAAACCTAAGCATCTGCTCTGGGCTACCCCTCCAACCCATGTACCATTCCCTGAAGTTTCACCTGAGTTGGATAGTTGACAAACTGTAATGCAGAGTTGCTGGAGACCATGGCACCCAGGTAAGAGAGAGAGCAGGCTGCATACAGCCAGCTCCTGGTCCGATCCACCCTGGCAGTGTCAAAAAACTGGATCACTGGGAGAAGACAAAAAAACACACAAGAGAAGCCTGGGAGGGCTAGGACTGACCACAGGGCAGAGAGGTATGGAAATTCTGAAAGAAATGTTCCTTCATTAAGACAGGAAGCTCCCCAAGGACAGGAACAGTTTCTACTCTCATTAAACTGGAAACTTTCTAAGGGACTATGTGTTTCCTTTTCTCTAAGTCTACTCTCAGGGCCCAGCCATGGGCTATTTCCCAGAGGACATTCTGTCCCAATTACACTGGACAGTTAATTCTACAGTAGTAGAACGGGTGAGGGTGAGAGAGGGAAGGGAGAGAAGATAAGTAGGGGTGGCTCTAAGAGGAAAAATCATTTAAACTAACTGGGCCAACAAATTCCTGAAGTTGATAAAGAAATAAGAATTAGAGCAAAGAAATAACTAACATCTTCAACAATGGTGTAAAATACACAGGACGCCTACTTTCTTCCTTTCTTACTTCTGACATAAAGGATTTGTCCAAGGAACCCCAAACAAATCAGTGAGTTCTAAAGCAGAACGATAGGAATTCGAGAGCATCAACATGGGCTTTAAACCCTATGGGTCCAGGCAGAGATCACCCAGCACCCAGGGCCTGAGTGGTGGTCTCTCCCTGATTAAGTACTCACAGATCTTGGCAAATACTGCATTGATCACACACTGGATAAAGACCAAGGTTAAGGCAAATGTGAACTTCTCTTGTTTGGCACCCTCTCCATATTTTCCCCTCGTGCTGAAAAGGAAACAGGAGGAAAAGAGGAAATAAGAATGATTGTAAGAGCAGCTCATATTAACATGGCGCTCAAAAGTTTGCAATGCACTTTACAGACATCTCATTGGCTCCTTACATCCAACCCGCCCCCATGCAGATGCTATTGGTATCATAGTATTCTCATTTCACAAATGAGGAAATCAAGACTTAAAGAAATTAAATGTCTTGCTTATGGTCAGGTAGCTAGTAAGCCCGAAATAAAATTTTGCCTGGGCCTTCCTGACTCCAAGGTTTAGCACTCCAACAAGCCACATCTCCAGAGAAAACTGGGAAAACTACCCCAAGATGATCACTGGTCTTGGGCAGTGCTGGTAAGAGTCTTGGCTTCAGGAGTATGAAGATCGGAGTTCAAGTCTCCCTTTTGCCACTTACTCAAGATAAAATCTTAAAACAAAGGTGGGAGGTGGAGTGAGTCTCCAGTAAATGCTTTACTTACTTCCCTACCCACCCATACAGTGCTCAAAGCACCTGAACCTGGAGTTCAGGAGACCTGAGTTCAAATCCAGCCTCAGACACTTACTAGCTGCATGACCTTGGACAATTCCCTTAACGGCTCCCAGCCTCAGTTTCCTCATCTGTAAAAGGGGAGTAATAATAATAATACCATCCAGGATTCTGGTGGGGGATCAATGAGATACATTTGTCAAGCGCTTTGCCAACCTTACCGCTTATATAGCGGTAGCTCGCTATTGTTACTGCCATCAGCTGACTCGTTGCACCCTCCCCGACCCCACCCCCGCCCCCTCCCCACTGGGGGGCCCGGCTGTCATTCCCTCCTGTCATGGAAGGCGTGGAGGGTCAAGGCACGAGCCACGCCACCCACGTGGCCCCGAGCCTCGAGCCCCGAGGAGGGCAGTGTCCAGGGATGAAATGGTCGCGGGAAGCCCGGGTCTGTGGAGCAGGGGCGGAGGCGGGAAGCCCCCCGGGAACCCGCCCCAGCTCGGGGGTGGGTGGGGAGCAGAGCCTCTGGGGAATCTGACCGGGCCTGAGAGCCCCGCGTTCTGGAGGGTCCAGGTCGGGGGCGCTCACATCTTCTCCTGCAGGATCCCGTAATAGAAGTAGCAGATGAAGACGCCGAAAAAGCAGAGCGGCAGGCGCAGCCGATCGGGCACCAGGGCGCCGCTGGCGGCCATGAGGCGCGGGGCCGGGCCGGCACGAGCCTCACTCAGAGTCCCCAGAGATGACGGCGGCGGCGGCGCGGGCAGCGGCAGCTCCAGCCGGACATCGCACACCGGCGACGGGGCCCTCATAGGGGCTGCCTGCGACTGCCGGCGCCGCAAGGCCCCGCGGCTATCTTCGCAGCTGCCAGATCCGGGAGGCGGAGGAGGAAGTGCCTGCGGGGTCTCGCGACATACTTCACCGAGGAAGTCGCACCTTCGAGCCTTGACGTCTTTCTCGATGGCCCGGGACACCCAGACCTCCACGGGAAAAGGCACAATCCTGAGTCTTTTCAACAAGGCGCTCTTAGGGGCAGCCCCAACAAGAACCCGGTGAGGGACCTTGGGGAGCGGAGGCGTCCTAAAGTGACGTAACTGGATGTGGAGCCCGCCGATTGGCCAGGTCATTGAAAGGCTGCCGGAGGTAGGGGGCGGAGAATCGGGGAGATAAAGCAGGTCAAAATAGCCTTCTTCCAGGCTTCCCCCGGATCCTAGCGCTTACCTTCTCCGCTAGCGTTTGGGTTTGGGAACCCTGTGGCGCCCTCTAGTGCCCACAGCCTTACCCCTCAGCCCCATTGGATTCCCTAGACTTAGGCAAGTGTTGAGATCTAGGGGGTATCCTCTCCTCCTCTGGCCTAGCAGTAGTCCATCAGCGGGGAAGAGCAGGGAGATTAAGTAAAAAATCAAAAAGACATGACTCCACTAACTAGCCATACAACCTTTCACCTTCTGGTCCTCAGTTTCCCCATCTGTAAATTGGGTATTAATAAAATCTGCCCTTCCTGCTGCACAGGATTCTTATAAGGACCAAATGTGGTAAGGCATAGGAAAGCACTGTGGTGACTGAGAAATGGCCTGCAGTTGCAAATGTAATTGTTACTCAGACCTCAAAGCACTTTCTCACTTATTTCCCATAGCCCCTTCCAGGAACAGAAGAGGTTCAGGATCATGAAAAAGACTAGGATTGTAAAACCCAGTGCTTGCCTGTCTGGTCCCCATGACTGCCCAAGTGAGCTTTCTGGCTCCCTTTCCACTAGCCTCTTTGTAGAATCCTCCCTAAATAAGCTTTCATTTGGGGACATTCAGGTGAAGGGTCACAGACAGCAGCCTTCAGGTCTCTCCGTTCTTGCAGAGCAACCCCACCCCCCAACCACACACATTTTCAGTTGATCTAAACCTCAGACAGCCTGTTGGGCTGAGAGCCACTGCAGCCCCAGTAAAGGTTTCTCCACTTGTAGCCGCCTCCTCCTTTGGCATCATCTCAGCCAAAGGAAGGAAACACTGGGCAGCACCACACCCATGACTTTAGGCCCAACTTGCACTGAAGATTTAGAATATGGTGTCATTTTATTTTTCAAGAGCAAAGGGAGGCAGCCCATTCTTCCTGCTCCCCCCAACTCCCACCAAGGGACCTCTCTGTAATCATTTGCTATTTTGCTTGTTCACTCTCAATGAATTTAGCATCCATCCTTGCAAACAGTCTTCCACAGATGAAATACAAATTACTGGAATAAGGAGCCTCTAGCCCACTGAATTTGAAAGATAAGATGAAAGGATTAAGCAGCCCTAGGAGTGTGGGAAAATCTGCCTTCTCCTCTGGCTGATTTTACAAATACAAGAAAGGAGGGAACTATTGGTTTATCTAGTCGAGATTTTTACTTAATCTCACAGCTTGACCTCCTATTTGTAAAACTATTTAAATACACTCAAATCATACCCAGTTTTCCTGGACAGTCTACATTTCAACAGACACCAACCTATCATTTGTCAGTCCACTAGCCCCAGAAGTCTCCTCCTCTTTAGGGAGCCTTCCTAGACCTCAGCCTACTCCAGTGTGGCTGATAACACATATATCACCCTCTCTTTATATGACTGGTTTCATCTATTTGTTTTCTCTGGGCAAGAATTCTACGGGTCCCAAAATACGTCCACACTAGTACTGTTTAAGCTCAAAGCCAAACTGGACTTGATCCAGTCTCTGATTATGCACTAGGCTTCCCAGCCTCTGCTCTTGTTGCTTTTTGATGCCTGGAATGTCATCCCTCTCTATACTTACTGAATGCCCATCTTTTAAAGCCCAACTGAAAGGCCCCTCTTCTTTCAGAAAGCTTTCCATGATTATCCTCTCAGAACTTTCCCCCTTCTTTCTTACAGAGATAACACTTTGTTCAGCATCCCCGGAAAGCATGTAATACTGTGTATTACAGTTATCTGGGAGTACTATGCACTCCCAGACTAAATTCCATGAGGATACAAACTACTATCTTATCTAAACCCTAACTCCCCTCAGCACTTGGCAGTGTTTGGCACATAGTTGGACCATAAAGCATTTCTTAAGTGCTTACTATGTGCCAGGTTTACTGTGCTAAGTGCTAGGAAATAAACACAAAAAAAGCAAGATGACAGTCCCTTACTCTCAAGGGGCTTACATTCTAGTGAGGGAAGGCAACAGAGAAGTGAGCTGAAAAGAGCAAGCTAAAAGGGACCTCAGAGCCTAGTTAGTCTAAGTCTCATTTTACACATAGGGAAAGTGAGGCTCAGGGAAATTGCTTGACTTGCTCAAGGTCCCACAGGGGGTGAAGCATCAGAGACAGGAAATGAACCTAAGACTACTGCCTCCAGAGTGTGTGCTCCTTCCACTGAATTACACTGCCTTCTATTAACTCATAACATGCATCTTATCTTTGTGACAAAAATTATGAATGAGCAAACCTCTAAAGTGTAATAAGCAGATTCTCTCAGAGTTGAAATTGTCTAGTCCTTCATGCCTTAAATGAATGGTGCCTTCCTCCATTATTTATAGGGTGGGGTAAGAGACTGGTGAGTTCATTTCATGCCATGTTCTCCAGTGTTATGGAAATGAAAAGATAATTTTCAGCAGAGGTGGACTTCTGTGGGTCTACACCTGCTGGGCCTGGTAATTTGTACACAGTTCCTGAATTTGAATGTGATGTTTGATGAGAAGGATGATAAAAGATCCTCTATCCCTAGGATTCCCCAACCCTTCAGAAGAATCCACTAGGCCCATGGTTGCTGGGAATATTTATTTATTTGGACTATTAACACCAAGATCTGCAAAAAACAAAAACAAAAAACCACCTTTAAACACAGGACAAGGAAATTCCAACATTAACATTCCTCTTCAATTTCTCTGTGTAAGCTCTGCAGTACAGAAAATATACAAACTTCAAACAGCTGCAAAAATAGTGTCTTTGGGAGAAAATAGAGTTTCTACATCAATACAAGAAAAATAGGCATTTTTCAAATCCAACCTGAACCTGGGAGAGGCAAGAGAGTAGGCAGCAGCGTACATTCAGTCCTCGTGCCTGGCCTCGAAGGGGAGGCACCAGCTCTCCCTACCCCCACCCGCCTTCCACCTGCCTCCAGGGGTAGGCAGGCTGGACCACAGCTCCTGACAATCTTCAGTCGGGATGAAGGCAAGACAAAAATGTCACCAGGAACACTCTCCATTCCCATCTCTGCCCCCAGCTGGGCTGGTCCCGGCTTTGGGATTACTTGGATCAACTCCTCCACGGAGAAGGGTGTGGATGAGGGAATACACATGGGGGGGGGCAAGGAGGGCAGGCAGTGAGTTTTCTCTCCTGGGCTTTTCTTCACTGAAGGAGAAAGGGAAGGGATCCTTTCAAGGCCCCTTCTTCCCCCTCCCCGAGCCAAGACCAGCTTCCTTGACAGCTGAGAGGGACAAGTATCTCCTATGGGGTTGTCTGTACTCACATGCTTGGGATGGAGGGGCCAAGGCCTCCATGGCCATTCCTCTCCCAAGGGGAATCAAGAATGACAACACTGACTTGAAGAGTGGTGAGCTGCCCAGCCCAAGGGAAAAGGCAGGTTTCCTCCCCCTCCCAGGAGCTGGTACCCGACAGAAACAGGAACCAGGGCATTTTGATGTGATAAAAGGAAGATGCTCAAAGGCCAAGAGAGGATGGGATCCTTGGTCTCCATCCAGGGGCAGGGGAAGCCAGCCACAAAGGCACTGGTCTGCATGGTAAGGTGGGAGGGGTTCCAGGAAAGACCCTCAAACTACCAGGGAACTCTGGAAAAGCACAGACTCCTCAGAGGGAGGAGTGCGCTGCCAGGGTTCGAAGGGTAGTGGGGGTGCTTTGGGAGCATCGGGGTCCTTTCGGGGAGAGGTCAAGAAAGGACTTGGAGCTGTTGATGGACAGGGGGACCCTGGGGTGGTGGGGCAGTTTCGGAAGAGGAAGCCCATACTGGGGAAGAGGGGCTTCACCAAACTGACAGGACAGAAGGCAGAGCCAGTCGGGTTGAAGTGGACTTTGTTCTTGTCAGGGCAGGAAGGCAGGAAGGTCAGGTCAGGACTAAGGGACCTAGAGGGCAGAGAGAGAAAGAGAACGAGAGAGAGAGAGAGAGAGAGAGAGAGAGAGAGAGAGAGAGAGAGAG